GTGCTCCCAAAATGCAGTAGTAGTAAATATTAAGTTTGTAAGTTGGGGCCCGTGCCTTAGAAGATCGCCAAAGGGACTAAAATGCAATACTATGAACGATCTAGGTTGTAACTTACGTTATCAGAATCAATTAGGATCCCTAGGGGAGTGGATGAAAGCCAATCGATTTTGGAGAACCTTAATTTAAAAAATCGCAACGTGCTTTAAAAAGATCACCAAGTGCATTGACATACGATAGTAGTAAATATTTAGGTTGTAGCTGAAGTCATCAGGAAGTTTCAGGTCAAATAGTGGTTCCTAGGGGTGCTGATGAGTGGCAAACGATCATGATGGGCATTAATTAACTTTAAAACGTGCATAACAGGACTTAAAGGGAATGCAATGCAATGGCATTAAAAATTTAGACCGGAATTCAAGTTTTTAGTAAGCATCAGGATAAATGAGGGGTCCCTAGGGATATAGATGTATGGACTATGATCCAGAAGATCCTTAATCGACTTTAAAAGTTTACAACTTGTTTAAATTAGTCGTCAAGTGAATTGAAATGCAATTGTATCAAATATTCAGATTGTAGCTCAAGCTATCAGAAGATTTCAAATTAATTGAAAGGCCCCTAGAGCTATTAATGAATGCCAGATCAACCTGGAAGACTTTACTTTGCTTTAAGAAATTACAGCGTGCCTTTAAAGTTCACCTAGTGTCGAAATAGCACTGAAAAAAAAAGTTTCCAGTTTTTAAGGAGATTTCTGGATCATTTAGGGATTTCTAGTGGAGTGAATTAGCGATAAATGATGCGGGAGGGCCTTAATTGACTTTAAAAAATCATAACGTGCCACGAAGTGCACTGAAATTGCAATTGTATGCGTTGTACCTCAAAATTTTAGGAGATTTCGGGATAAATCAGAGGCCCCTAGGGGCGTGGATGAATAACAACTGGTACTTGAGGGCTTTAATTAACTTTAAAAAATCATAACGTGCCGTAAAAGATCGCGAAGTGCTCCTAGTAATCAAGATTAATAATTTAAAATAAATGGGTGGTACAAATGATGCTATATAGGGTGTTAAATAATCTTCAAGTCCACTGAAATGTCAATTGTAACAAGGATTTAGGTTGTATAGCTCAAGCAAGTTTCAAGTCAACTATAAAAATAAACTGTTTCAAACTAATATAAACAACGAGCGACAAACAGACGGACGGAAAGTCCAAATGACCAAAAATTTAGGTAATCTGTTAGTCCCTTGATCATTGTCTACTGAAAACAGAATTGGAAAACTCGAAACCGTTCGCGAGTGATCATGTGCACAGACGGACGAACGGAACGTCTTTAAGGCTTTTTAAAATGGGTATAGAATACCCCTCCCCGACCAGCAATAGGTACCTACTCCTCAGTGGTACCCTCGGCAAAGGGAGACTTGATAATTCTTTCTCCTATCAACCTCATGTTAGCTTTTGAGAAAAGGCAATTCATGTCATACCCCCCAGACCCCCAGTAGACACTACGTTCTCCCACAAGAGCGCTCAGACTCTGATAATTAGTTTTTAGAAAAGGACAGACGATTCTTTCTGTACTGTGTAGTGTGTTAATACTAAATGTTTTTGAAGAAGAACGTAGCACAAGGAGTGGGGAGGTCTGGAGGATATGGAATGCCCCCTAGCGATATTCCCCAGTAGTACCATCAACAAGGGAAGACTCGATAATTCGCTCTCTATTGCTCCTAGTAACCTCATGTTAGCTTTTAAGAAAGGGCAATTAATTTCATACCCCGCAGAGCCCCCGATAGATACGCTCAGACTCTGATAGGTAATTAGTTTTTAGAAAAGGACAGACGAATCTTTTTATCCTGTGGAATGTGGGAACACTAAATGTTTTTGGGGAAGAACGTAGTTCTAGGGGATCACTGGGGGCAGCCAGCAATACTCTCCAGTAGTAGGTACCCTTAGCAAATTCGATAATTCGCTCTCTATTTCTCCTAGCAACCTCATGTTAGCTTTTGAGAAAGGGCAATTAATTTCATACCCCCCAAACCCCCTGGTAGATACTACGTCTCCCACAAGAGCGCTCAGTTTTTAGAAAAGGACAGACGAATTTTTCTAACCTGAACAGTATGGTAACACTAAATGTTTTTGGGTAGAACGTTGGAGCGGAGGATTTGGGGGTTGTGGAATGCCACTCAGCAATTCTCTTCAGAGTACCCTCAACAAAGGAAGACTCGATAATTCTTTCTCTATTTGTTCTAGCAACCCCATGTTAGTTTTGCAGAAAAAGCAATCAAATCTTTGTATGCTGGGGGGGTATTATACCCCCCAGACTCCACGGTATAGGTACTAGGTTTTTCCACAAGAGCACTCAGACTCTCGTAATCAGTTTTTAGAAAGTTACATGCGAATATTTCTTTCCTACTGAGTATGTTAGATTGCTGGCTCTAAATGTTTTTGAAGAATAACGTAGTACCCAGGGGCGGACTGACCCGGGGAGGGGGGGGGGCGATTGCCACCTGGCCTGTAGATCATAATGGCCCGTTGGAAATTTATAAGTACGAGTATGTGCTGCATTTAGTTTCTTGCACTATTAATAAATTATTAACACGTTTCTCTAATTGGGGTTGACGTTAGGTTGTTAAAATATTCTGTTTTAATTGAAGTGTTTTACAAGGAATGTATCATTTTTTGTCGTAGCATGAAAGTGCTGAAATACAATGATAGGCGACGCACCTCGTGTGGATTGTACGAGTATATTTTGTTACTTTTAATTATCAGCTGCAATTTAAAAAAAAACTATGGTAAGTGATTAACTTTTGAACTAGTAGCCCAATCTTGGAACTGTTTGAAATTATGGATTCTACAGGCCATATTCTATAAGAAAATTTTTTTTCCGGGTCGATCTGAGACAATTTTTTCTTCGGGGCTCAAAAAAAGGCAGTTATTACCTTCCTTTTTTACCAAAAATCGACTGCACCAAAATTTCTCGGGAAAACACTTTTTCTTATTAATTTTGGTGCGTAGAATCCAATACAATTCGTACTTTTTCGATCAGACTTCTCAATCAAAAGTTATAGACTAGAAACCAATTTCGAAAGAAAATTCAAAGGGCTGTAACTTTTGATCTAGTAGCCCAACCTTGGAACTGTTTGAAATTATGGATTCTACAGGCCACATTCTATAAGAAAATTTTTTTCCGGGTCGATCTGAGACAATTTTTTTGTCGGGGCTCAAAAAAAGGCAGTGTATAACCTTCCTTTTTTACCAAAAATCGACTACACCAAAATTTCTCGGGAAAACACTTTTTCTTATTAATTTGTGTGCGTAGAATCCAAATCAATTCGTACTTTTTCGATCAGACTTCTCAATCAAAAGTTATAGACTAGAAACCAATTTCGAAATAAAATTCAAAGGGCTGTAACCTTTGAACTAGTAGCCCAACCTTGGAACTGTTTGAGATTATGGATTCTACAAGCCACATTCTATAAGAAAATTTTTTTTCCAGGTCGATTTGAGGAAATTTTTTTTTCGGGGCTCAAAAAATGGCAGTGTATAGTACCGAGGGGTCTGGGGAGTATACCCTCCACCGATACCTCTCAGTAGTACCGTTGAGTGAAGGCTCGATAATTCGCTATTTCTCCTAGAAACCTCATGTTAGCTTTTGAGAAAAGGTAATCAGATCTTGCTCTTTTGGGTGAAACACAATTAGGGCATTGTGCGGGGGTGCACCACTTTGCGTTTCCAATTTTTTTGCGTACTGTATATCGTATTCGTACTAAAAATGCTACTCAATGTACAGATGTGTACTGTTTTTACAGGCCGTATGAAAAATAAATTGGATGATGATTTCTTTGAAACGAAACGTTTTATTTAAAATCTTTCAATGGTGTCTTGTAGAGTTCAAAAATGAAAATAAGAAAGTGCTTTTTAGTTTTCTATTATTAGATGCAAAAAAAAGATTTAGGATCTCAATATAACTTACCACCTTTTGAATTCAGGACTAATTCGTACCCACGAGGAAATTGTTACCTAGGTATACCTAAACAAATTATTTTTTAAGAATTCTGAATTTCAGGATAAATGAGGGGTCGCTAGGTGTATGAATGATCCTAGGAGGTTTTACTTTACGTTAAAAATCACAATGTGCCTTAAAAGATCGCCAAGTGCACTGAAAAGCGCCTATTTCATTTTATCCCCAAATAAGAGAATGCAATTCTTCAAATTTCGATCTCTTGGTTATAATCTCTCGACTTTTAACGGGTACAGGGGAAGGAATGTAGAAATGGGAATATTTCCATATCTAAATTCGCTGAGTGGAATTTATGCCGAATTCGCCTTTCTCGATTTTCGAGCTGATCGAATTCGCCGATTGGATGAGTTGTTCGAATTCCTCGACCGAAATACCTATCGTAAATCCTAATTGCCGTTTGGTCTAAGTAACTTTCGAGCACATCGGCAAAGGTCGAAAGGGTTGCGGATTATGTACCCTCAGGTGGCACTCGAGAGTTTCGTTAACCAAATCGAACTCATATTCAAGTTTTTCGAGTTCGTTATTCGTTTGGCGCAATGGCGCTACCTACCCGACGCGCGAGCATTGTCTGACGTGGGGAAAAAGGGTAAAAACTCAAAACAAAGGGCGCTGATGCACAAACGAGGCGCTCAGCATGCATTCGACAGATGATATGTTGTCTCAAGCCCGAGGCTTTTGTCGAAAGCTCCCGCTTTGTTTGCCTAGTGAAATTGAAACGAGATGCGATTTGGATCATATGCTTTAACGTTCTACGGGGGGATTTTATCCGCGTTTCTCGCCCTCGTTTTTTTTCGCGATTTGAATGCGTTTTCGCCGCGCCGGATTGCGCCGTCGTCAGCGGTGACTCCACCTTTAGCGCCGCGACCCAATCGAACGCGCCGAGATCCCCTCGCTTTTGATCCCCCCCTCTCTCCTTATTTTATTAACGAATATAATAATTTCGAGTTCTTCCCGTCTGACCTACATAAAATCGTCACAATATCGACTTACCGTGATGCGATCCGGGCATTGCGTTTTTGTTCCCCGACAAATAGTCCTCTTTGCATATAAAGTTATTGTCGTCTAGGACGTAGAGCTCCTCGCCGGTCGACAGCTTCTTCCGGCAGACTATGCAGGTGAAACAGTTGATGTGGAACACTTTGTCTCTCGCCTTCCTCACCAGGTCAGTTGGCAATATTCCCTGACCGCAGCCGCCGCATTTCGTACCGTATCTCCTGGAAGAAAAAAACAGAAAAAAATCATTGCACCGGTCGAGGTCACCGAATGTCTAATTCGTCATGGCGAAGGTGCTCGGTTACAATTTACGACCGCGCACTCGTTATAACAACCATATCGACACCACTGGTATTAAATCCTCCCCCCGTTTAAAATTAGATAAGGTTTTAAATGGTGGTCCCAGTCGACTTTGATGTGGCCTGCTCACGGAGATAAGTGCACTTTCATTTATTTATGGTAATTGCGAGGGTGCACCCCCTTTTAACTTCCTCTTTTTTCTCGCGTGGGAGACGCTCTTCTTATCGTTCGAATTTATGAGAAGTGTCGATTAGTAACGCCACCCGCGATTCGATTCCCTTAATCAAAATATTGCCTAATCTACTTTTTTTTATCGGGCGACGTTAATGAGATCGGGAGCCGAAACTAATTTTCTATGCGACTGATGCAATTGTAGATTGTAATTGAAATTTGAAGTTTTCGAACTTCGGCTTCTGGTAACTTGTGGGATAGAGTTAGCCGACACGCAAGTAAAATTAAGGGGGAGGTTTAACGTTGGCTAACCTGCAATCTGTCGAGAATTCTCATTCATTCTAAATTTTCGTGGGAATTTTCGAGAATTTTTGCCTTTCACGAATATGCCTTATATAGGACTCAAAATAGCTATGCCGATTAAAAAGTTTAACTTTAATTTTTCTGCAATTTATACAGCAGTGTCCTTAAACTCGAATTGGGGCTGTTTTCTCTTTGAAATTTTTCCGAAATTCAGTGAGAGAATTTTATGCCTCCGGCGAATTGAAATTCAAGCAATCCTAATCAGAAAACAAGCGTTGAGAGACGGTTCGTCGTCGAATTTATACCTACATCGGCAGCCCGCCTTTGATTCGCCCTTAAAATCCAATAAGGTTTTTTCTGTTCCAAATTCTTCTGAAATTCAGTGAGTAGAATATTATTCCTCGGAGGAACTGATGAAATTTCTGGAATTTTAAGCAGAAATAAGCACCGGGGATAATTTAACTTTAATTTTTCCCTTCAAAACCGATTTGGGGTTGTTTTGTGTTTTAAATTTTTCCGAAATACGCAACGAGCGGAATTATATTTCGGAAGAACTGAATTTACGGAAATTTTAAACAGAAAACAAGCACTTAGGGACAATTGAATCTTAGGTTTCTCGAATATTTACAGTAGTCACCTTCAAAATCAAATGGGAGTTGTTTTCCCCTTAAAACTCTTCAGAAATTCATCAGTGAATCGAATATTCTGCCTCGGAAGAACTGAAATTCCAACAATTTAACATTGAAATCAAGAATGTAATCAGCAGTAGCCTTGATTATCTCCCACAAGTGTGGGGGTTGTTTTCTGATTAACATTTTTCTGAAATTCAGTGAGTCAAACTCGGAACAATTGAAATTCGGGCAATTTTAAACAGAGAGCGAGCACTTTGGGACCTTTGAGCTTTATGTTTTTATAGAATTTATACTGCAGTCGCCCTCAAAATCAAATGGGGGTTGTTTTATCCTTCAAATTCATCTGAAATTCAATGGGTAGAGTGTTATAGGTACCTATAGGAAAAATTGAAATTCTGGCAATTTTGTTTTGAAAACAAGACAGTAGCCGCATTTGATTCTTCCTAAAAATTAAATTGGGGTGGTTTTATGTTTGAAACTCTTCTGAAATTCAGTGAGTAGAATATTATGCTCCGAAAGAACTGAAATTCCGGAAACAGCAAGCACCGAAACAGAGTTGAACTTTAATCCTTGCCACTCATCGTGGAATTTATACAGCAGTGGCCTTTGATTCTCTCCCACACTTGAATGGGGGGTTGTTTTCTGATTCAAATTTTCTCTAAATTCAGTGGCTCAAATACTATGTTTCATAGGTATACCTACTGAAATTCCGGAATTTTAAACAGAAAGCAAACACTGAGGGACAGTTGAACTTAAATCTTTGAACATCAGTCGAATTTATGGAGCGGTCCCTTTTGATTCGCCTTTTCTTTTTTTTAATTCTTCTGAAATTTAGTAATTGGCTATTTATCCCCCTTCCGAATTTAAATTCCAACTATTTTATATTGAAAACAAGGATATACACCAACAGGCACTTTTGCATAGAATTTAGGTATATAACAGTTGTCTTAGATTTTCCCCAAAAATTGAATTGGGGATATTTTCTGGTTCAAATTTTTGTGAAATTCAGAGTCAGATATTCTGCCTCGGAAGAATTGAAATTACGTCAATTTTAAACGGAAAAACAGTGAGTGAGTGCCAGTTAAACTTTAATTTGTTCAATTCATTGTGAAATTTATACTGTAGTCGCCTTTCATTCGCCCTCAAAATTGAATGTGGGTAGTTTTCTGTTTTAAATGCTTCTGAAATTCAGTGAGTCGAATACCATGCTTCGGAGGAACTGAAATGTTAGCGATCTTAAGCAGAATAAGCGCTAGGGACAGTTGCACTTGAATTTTTCGTTTTTTTTTTTACAATAGTCGCCTTTGATTTGTCCTCAAAACCAACTTTTTTGTTTTAAATTGTTCTGAATTTCAGTGAGTCGAAGATTATGCCTGAAGAATTTAAATTCCGGCAATTTTATACAGAAAGGATTGAAGGACGTAAAAATGTTAATTATTCTCGCATTTTTACCGCAGTTGCCAAAATCGAACTGGGGTTACTTTCTGTTAAAAATTCTTCACAAATTCAGTGAACTGACAAAAATTCACATTTCGGCAACTTGAACCAGAAATCAAGCACCGAAAGACGGGTGAATTTTAATCTCTACAGTGAGTCGAATACTCGCCTCAGAATATTCCGACAATTTTGAACAAAAACCAAGCACTGAGAAACGGTTGGACTTAAATTTTTTTAGAATATATACAGCAGACTCCACAATCGAGTTGGAGTTGATTTCTGTTTCAAGTTCTTCAGAAATTCAGTGAGATGAATATTCTACTTTAAAAGAAATGGAATTACGGCAATTTTAAACTGAGAGCCAGCACTGAAAGACACTTGAACTTCATTCAGCAGTTTCTTGGTTCGCCCTCAAATTCCAATTGTTTTTTGCGTAAAATTCTTCTGAAATTCAGTGAGTGGCTGTTTACCCCTTACAACATTCGCCTTTGATTCTCCCCCAAAATTTAATGGAGGTGGTTGTGTGTTTCAAATTCTTTTTAAATGCAGCGAGCCTAATATTCTGCCTCAGAAGAATTAAAATTCCGATAGTTTTAAACGGAAAACGATCACTGAGTGCGAGTTCAACTTTAAATTTTTGCAGTTGATCGTGGAATTTATACGGTAGTCGCTTTGATTTGCCCTCAAAGTCGAATAAGGTTGTTTTATGTTGCTAATTCCGCCATTTTTGAACCGAAATCAAGTATCTGGGGGCCAGTTTAATTTTTCTTTTTCAAATGCTTCTGAAATTCAGTGTGTAGAATCTTCTACTTCGGGATAATTGAAACTATGTCAAGTTCAGACAGAAAACAAGCACTGAAAGAACTTTAATTTTTCTCGAATATTTATAGCATCAGTCGCTCTCAAAATTGGAGGTTGTTTTCTTTTCCAAATTCTTCTGAAATTCAGTGAGTCGAATATTGTGTCTCGGAAGAATCGAAAATCGGGTCATTTTGAACAGAAAGCAAGCACTGAGGGACAGTTGAACTTTAATTTTTTTCCAACTTTTACAGCAGTCGCTAAAGTCGAATTGGGATTGCTTTCTGTTTGAAATTCTCCTGAATTTCAGTGAGTCGAATATTATTCCCTGAAAGAAATGAAATTTCGATCATTTTAAACAGAAAACAAACACGGGGACTGTTTAATTTTAATTTTTCTCGAATATTTGCCGCAGTCGCCCTCATTAATCAAATGGGGGTTGTTTTATCCTTCAAATTCTTCTGAAATTCAATGGGTAGAGTATTATACCTAGGAAGAATTGAAATTCCAGCAATTTTATATTGAAAACAAGAACATATATAGCAGTCATCATTTGATTCGCCCTTCAAATCAAGTTGATAGTTTGTTTCCTTTTCAAACTCTTCCAGAAATTCAGTGAGCAAAAAATTCTGGGTCGGAAGAATTGAAATTCCGGTAATTTTAAATAGAAAGAAGGCGCTGAAAAAAAATCGAGTTGGGGTTGCTTTCTGTTTCAAATTCTTCAGAAATTCAGTGAGCAGAATACTCTTCCTCGGAAGTGTTGGATTTCGGGCAATTTTGAACAGAAAACAAGCACTGAAGGACAGTTGAATTTGAATTTTTGCAACTCGTCACCATCAAATTGTTTTTTTTTTCCAATTCTTCTAAAATTTAGTGAATGGCTTATTATCCCCTTTTAAGAATTGAAATTGCAATAATTTTATATTGAAAACAAGAATATATAGAAAGGATGTCACCTTTCGCCCTTAAAATTGAATGGTGGTGGTAGAGGTGGTTTTTGTTCTAAATTCTTCAGAAATTCATTGAGTTGATTATGATTATGGGTTGTTCACACTTGCTGAAATTCAGTGAGTGAAATATTATGCTTTTAAACAGTAAATAAGCACTGAGGAACAGTTGAACTTTAATCGTTAGGGCGGTGCCTTTTAATTCGCCCTCGAATCGAATGTGGGTTGTTTTCTGTTTTAAATTCTTCTGAAATTCAGTGAGTCAAATATTCCGGCTCAAACTAATTGAAATTCCGGAAATTCTAGGTAGAAAATAAGCACGGAGAGGGTTGAATTTTAATTTTCCTTGAATAGTGACAGCAGTTGGATTCAAAATCAAATGGGTGTTGTTTTCTCTTTCAAATTCTTCTGAAATTCAGTGAGTCGCATATGATGCCTCGGCAAAGCGAAATTCCAGCAATTTTAAATAGAAAGCGAGCCCTGAAGAGCAGTTGAGCTTCAATTCTTTTTTGATTTGCTCCCAGCATCAAATTTGGATTGTTTTTTGTTACAAATTCTTCAGAAATTCGGCGAGTTGAATATTATTCCAGCTATTTTAAAAAGAAAACAAGCACTTAAGGACAGTTGAATTTT